CCGGCAGTTCGTCTTCGTTTGTAGTTCCATTTCACTGAGACAAAATATACAGCGTACTCAACGTAAGCCGAACCATATATATGACAAAGGTTAGTGTACGTCTAGCGTACTGTGTTCACATTTGTTATTTGCTTAATCTAAACAGTCGGGTATTATTTTTTCGATTAAATGAATCTTGTGGTCCAGGTTAGATAATTAGAGACTGGGGTTCACCCATTAGAGGTTAGGATATAATATCATGCCCCAAATTTCGGTTAACTCATACTCTAACTAGTAGAATTCGACGGGCGTATGATAGTGTGAACGTTGTACGCATTACGTACGCTAGTCTGAACTATAATCCAACTGGTGAGATGTGTGTCGATAATGATTCATTATACTGTGACTAGTGGTGACAGTATGCTTACTAGTTATTGGATGAATTATGAGTTATGACTGAGTAGTGATCATCCGAATGTTTTCAGTAAACAGTGGCGGTAGAATTAGTGGTCCTTTAATTACTAGGCATTAGGTATTTGATTAGTATGGCATTCGATGGACCATTTGTAACTATCTCGATGTCGATTAGTAGTGATTGAGGAGTCGTGCTTTCGTAGTGATTAAGGAAGTTTACTTGAAATCAGATAACTTATTAGTAAAAAATAAATTAATGACATAAATTTGATTATGAATACTGTGTTAGTAAATAGTATAAGATTTATAATATTCAAATTTTTTTCACACCATTCGAATTATTAAAACTAAATTATTTTTTGTATGAAATTTCTCATTTATATACTGGTATAATGTTGGAAGTGCAGTTATCAAAACAAGCCAAAGCGGTTGATCGAACCGATAAACCGCAACCAGACATCAAATAGGCTCGGATCAGTCTATTAACTGCCTCATTTAGACCAACCGGTTGAAAACTGGTCCCGTCAATTAACTGTTTCTATCCAACCCGACAACTAGTTTTGAGTTTCTAGGTGCTTGGTGTAAAAAAATTGTTGATGGTGTGATTTTAACCCAAATCCTCTTCAGTGAAAAGATAATGCGTTTTCGGGTGTGTTATCTTTATTTTGTGTTAATGTACAAATATTTTAGAAGTTTGAATATTATGGAGAATATGCAAATATAATTAGCTTAAAATCCTTTCTATTTTACAAAATGATCAATACATAATTAAAACTTAAAATTTTATAGGAATATATTAATAATCAATTCATATTTGTATTTTAGAGAATATTAGTGTTTGGAGTCTGGACTTACAAAACTTTAGTACTCATCGTTGTTTATGAGTAATGTATTTTATTTTGAATTTATGGTTTAGTATGTTATTATGTGTAATTCTACTAATAAAGTTATTATTTTTGATCTATCGACTTTTTAACAGCTGAATATTGATTAAAACAATAAAATTTAAACCACTAGTTACGACAATTCATCCTGATTCTCGATTAAGTAAACATCGGAAGGGTTGGGCGCACGCAGGGTTGTGCAAAAGAGGCCAAAACACCAATTAATGTTGACTTTATTGTCAAATATTCATGTCTAGTAATAATTGCGCCCTAATTAAGTGTTTGTTATCGTGGTCATCTTTCTTTTACCCACCCCCCAAAAAGATTAAAACAGAAGAATCCCTCACCTAAATTCCAATAATGATCTCAGGGGAGGCAAATTTCTATGATTACATTATGGTTTATACGTCACACTCGAAATAATTAATAATTCTAATAATAACTATGATCATGTGAATGGGAAATTAGAACAAATAAAGGAGTTAGGAGTTTGAGATACCAAGTGAAGAAAAGTTATTTTACTCACTGCTACTACTACTACAAAAACTGAATGCCTTAATTAAAGTAAGGAATTCTTTTGTTATTTTTGCATATGCCATCAATTAGTTAATTTAAAACCAACAAATGGGAACATGACACCGAATTATCAACGAGGGCAATTTAGAGTTTACAAACAGGAGTAAGAGATTTCAGTTGTAGGTACATTTGATACACAATATCAAAGTTATTTTTGGAGTTAAAGAGAATTTGTCGAAATCATGTACGACACAGTCTGACACGTGCATGTAAAATTTATTGACTGAACCAAATCTACAAATAATATAATAGTAAAATGAAAATAGTATATCTTCCATTTTAAATTTCCTGTAACGAGAGCGAACGTAAATAGGGTGTATTTTTTGTCTTCACAATCATCTATTTCTTTCATATTTACTCATGATGATACTAAGATTTGAACCAGTGTCATTTTTCAAACAAAGACAAGGGTCATAACCAATCACACTACAAGATATGTTTTATCTCTTTAAATAAGAAGAATACACGAAGCTCAAATGATTCCAGGACTTCCCAACTGTTAGCTAGCCACTAAATCTTCACTAAATATACTTTAATTTTCATATTTTGATTATTCGAATTGTAGTTAATACTAAATTTAAATTTATATGTATGTTATAAATAGTGTAATCTTCATTTCAAATTTCTTGCCTCCAAAGCAATTCTCGAAAGGGTATTTAAGGAAACTGTTTTCTGATGGTTGTTGAACACGAAAGTAAAATCCTCAAGAATTGTTAACGGCCCCAAATTACTGTCCCGACCCACTACCGGCACACCCATCACCGCCTCTCCAGAGCTCTGCATGGGAATCTTCTGACCTTCCATCTCGACAGCCATAAGCCTACTTCCCTTCGGTTGACGAAAGCTCAACACAAAACACTGAAAGTTGCGGTGTTCTTCTTCAATCGTAGTCCATAAAGAACTCTTGCGTCAATAGTCATGAAGCAACCACACCGGTTGTGGTAACCATAGTTCCCTGTCTCTGATTATTGAAATTGAAGGGGTTAGAGGAATATTGCCAACCCGTAGAGAGGAGAATCTCGAATGCATAAGTTAATCATTAATATTTGGTTGATTTTTCTTAAATTACAAAGCTGATTTGTGGTATGTCGGCTTTGTTCATCATCAGTTTCAATTAATGAAAGTTCATAGGGAGATCAGAAGCCACATCTAATTATCAAATTGGGGGTTAAAGGGGTTCTGATTGGGAAGAACTATCTTTGGAATGCTTTGAGACTAGATTGAGACTTATTTTCCCTTTGAATCTTAGCAAGTCTAACATCTACATTGACTACATTTATTGTTGAAATTGGATGAGACTAATGGGATTTCTATTGATACGATTTTGAATTATGCATAAGTTCAACCCTAATCAATTATATTCTCTTACAAATTCAGCCGAACCTCTATTTAATTGGATTCTAATAAACAACCTTTTTTAGTTACGTACTTACTGTACCAATGGTGCTCAAAATGTTGTGTTAACCTTGGGTGGATGTTTAGGGTGTTATGTCTACTTGGTTGTTCAAAGGCCACTAGGAGTTCTTTTTTCCTTGTGCCATAAATGTAGATTGCACACCTATTATGAAAAGATTACTATGTGAAAATTTGGGCCTTAAAATGAAGCTATCCATTTACTATGCCATCTTATTACATCAATCCTTTTGATTTTAATTCATACTAGAGCACATCATATATGGGTTTTCGAAAGCTACTAGGTAAATTGTATTAAGGTTGAACCATTAATAATATTGATTCTAGATTCATTTGATGGACGAGGTTTATCAAATCCAAGACTTGTGGTATCAGTATACTTGCTTATTGCTCTACTTTGTTGCTTTCTTTATTATTAATTTTAATTATGATAGAAATAAGATCATATCAAAACTTAAGCAGGTAGGGGAAAAATCCCTTCTTCCTGGATGTCTGGAAAAAAAGGCCCAACGAAGCTGTAGATGTTCATGTTAATTCACAGGTATGCAAGACCAAAGATTTATTGGGAGAGGACTTGGTCCTGCTTTATCTGCAGTGTTACCTACTATTGTGATACGTGAAAGTTGTTGGTGGATTAAAAGACATATTTTTAGTGTTGGACCTAACTTTCACTAGCCCACTAGGAGTGGGAGGATTAATAAATTCTTCAACTTAGACCAGTGTAGTTAATTTATAAAATATAATTTAAATATTACCTTTGTCGATCTCCCAAATTATCAATGTTTTTTTTTCAAATATTTTCGTTTAAAATATATATTATTATGAAGAGATCCATCATGATTTGCACATCAAATTAAAATACTCGACTTGTCATCATATGATTTTGAGTTGAGAGATTGAGAATTGTTGGACGAAACAACGAATAAAATAAAGCTTCAAAAACAGAATGTGAAAAAGAAAAACAGGGAATCTGCGAAGAATAGTTGGTCGACAGACATAACTCATTATCGGCATAGTTAGTAAAATATGGTACGGGAAAGTTACGTATAAAATATGTACGGGTATTATACTTTGTTTACAATGTAAAGTTACGTTTAATAGTATATTAATAGTCATAAAAATATAAAATTAACTATTTTAAAACAAATAAATATGTAAATAACAGTAAATTAAACAATTTAATTAATAAAATATAAATAATAAATGTGTTATACGGGTTTTATACATGTTTAGTATGTGAGCTATCAAATGAATGGATAAAAATGAAACGGCTTGAATAATATGGATACAGAAGTTTTAAACGGATAAAATACGTACGAATACGTGTATTAAACATAGTATTTACTCACTATGATTATCGGTACGTAACAGGTTTGGGCTTCAAAATACAGAAACCTAAAATTGGTGGACTTAAAAACAATCAGGTGTGGGCTACAGGCTTACAGCTAAGATTTCTTTTGGGTGAGCCTACGTATAAGTTCAGCCCAATCAAAAAGTAACAAAGGAAGAATTGGAAAGAGGGTTCGCGCTTCACAACTTTTCCAGCGGCGGCGCTGTCATTCCACCGCCGCAATGGTTTTGAACAGCAAGACTGGGTGGCTTCTCCGGCTTTTTAAGTCTTAAACACGTCCGGTACCTGAATTTCCCAACTGTCGGCGATGGTCGCAATTACATATGATGATAAATAGCCGGCCCGTGGCTGTCTTCAAATGTTTGAGGACGGGGAGAAGGTTAATGGCGACTTCACTCGCTCGCCTTGACCCTCCTCCTCCTTCATTCGCTTCTCTCCCCAGTGACCGTAAGTCACTTAGCTTTGAACTGGCCGATAATCTCCTTAGTCGCGGCCTTTATTCCTCGGCTCAGCAGGTCATTCAGAGAATCATCAGTTCCTCTACTACTCTCCCTGAGGCGATTTCTGCAGCTGATTTCGCGGCTGGACGTGGCGTGGAGCTCAGTCTGCAGAGCTACTATGTGCTTATTAGGAGAGTGATGGGCTTCGGTGAGTTTCAATTCGCTCGGGCAATTTACTTCGACGGAATAATTGGTAGAGGGCTTGAGCCGGATTCGAACATTGTCAATTCCATGATCATTTGTATGGCGAAATTGGGAGATTTGGAGGGAGCAATGAGTCTCTTCGACCGGCTTTGGCACAAGGGTTGGATGCCCTGTGAATCCGCCAGTGATACAGTTCTCAGAGGGTTATATGAGCGGAAGCGCTTTCTGGAGGCGTTTGTGTACTTCACTAGGATTGTGAACTTGAAGGTGCATTTGGGTTTCTGGTGTTTTAATATCTTGATCGATGGTTTGTGTAAACAGGGCCATCTCGTTGAAGCACTGAAGGTGTTCGATGTAATGCGTGATAGGACTGGCTTGCCACCTACTGTTCATTTGTTGAAGTCACTATTTTTTGGGTTTTGCAAGAAGGGAATTTGTTTGGATGCGGAGAGAGTTTGTCGACAAATGGAAGAACGTGGTTTCTTTGTGGATGTTGTAATGTATTCTTCCCTAATAAACGCTTACTGCAATCATAATGATCTGAAAATGGCAATAATGGTTTTTTTCCGGATGCTGAAGATGGGTTGTAAACCAGATAAGTACACTTACACCATGTTGATACAAGGATTTCTGAAGATAGGGTTTCCTGATAAAGGAATGATTATGTATAACCAGATGTTAGACTTAGGTATGCAGCCTGATTTAGTTACTGCACATAGTATTATTAGTGGTTACTGTCAGAATGGAAAGGTGGATTCTGCTATGGAGTTTTTGAATAGCATGGTCCGCTCTAGTTTGGTTCCAAGTGTCCACAGCTATACTGCATTGCTTTCTGCACTTTACAAGCAGAACAGGTTTTCCGGTGTTAAGGCATTGTTCAGAAACATGTTAGACAGTGGAGTTATCCCTGACCATGTCACGTTTCTAATTCTCATGAAAAATATCCCAAAGGGGCAGGAACTTGAACTTGCTTTCTTCATGTTAAGGGCAATTACCAGAAATGGATGTAGGTTAGATCCTTGCTTGCTCTCTGTTTCTCCTGAGATATACTCAACTATGGATTTACAGCATGAAATTGAAATTCTGCTGTTGGAAATTGTGAGAACAAATTGGATGCTGGCAAATGTGTCGTTTGGTATCTACATTAGTGCCTTGTGCGAGAGCGGAAAATTTGAAGCTGCTTTCGCTTCTTTTGAAACGCTCAGGGGACTTGGCTGCTGTCCTTTGCCTTTCACCTTCAATTCATTGATCAAAGAACTTTGCAAGCATGGTCTACACCAGGAGGTTAAGTGTTTGCTTGCCATTATGCAAAAACACGAAATCATTCCAGAGTTCGCAACTTTCTTGATACTGGTGAGAGAGTTCTGCACACAAAATGACTTAACATCTGCATTTGTTGTTTTAGATGAGATGGAGCAGTGTGGAATCAAGCCTACTGTAGCTATTTATGATTGCATTATTGGTTGTTTAACTAAAGGAAACAAAATGTCCGAAGCTGAAACTTGGTTCATGAAGATGATTGAGGCTGGTTTGGATCCTGATGAAATGATATGTGTCACTATGATCAATGGGTACTTCAGGAATAAACAGTCCCAGAAAGCCTTATCCCTGTTTGATGTTATGGTGAAGAATGGGGTTCAACTTACTAAATTTTCTTATACTGCATTGATGAAGGGGCTAGTCAAGAACAAAATGGCTCGGGAGGGATGGATATATCTTCATAAATTGGTGGCATCGAATGGTCCATCGCCGGATATTCCACTGTACAATTCTCTAGTCAACCGGTTTTTCAGGAAGAGATAAATTATATTTTCATCTGCCTGGTCATTGGTTCATAGGAATGGCTTCATTGTTGTGCTTGATACAATGATATAGTGAGGATAAAAATAAAACCCTAATGTATCACAAAGCCAGCTTTCACAGACAGACCTTATGGCTGCATAGGTCCTCGTTCCCTTTATTGGTAAGCATACTTCTTTCTGTACATGTTTCAAGTACACCTTGCACAGTTAGTTCTGGTAATATAATATGGCTGCGTTACTGTGAAACTAACCACTGATATCTGACAATTTGCTGTGTCTTTGCAGCATTTGCATTGACAGCAGTTATAAGGGTTCATGATGGACGTGGGTCACCGACAAAGCTTTCAAAATAGATGCTGAAGGCTCTTCACCTTTCTGCTCCTGATGACATCATAGGGTATTACTAGCTCCTCTTTCTCAAGATTGATCTAAAATTAAGTGCTCATGAACGTAGAGGTTTTCTGTCATGAAATAGGTGTCCACAGGTTTCTTGTTTCACTTTAATACAAAGAGAAAATATATAAAAAGAAAATTGGTGTCAGCACTTCAACAAGTTTGAACTTCGGTATTCAGGGTCGCAATCTGCTTCTGGTGGAGACAGAAGGTCGTTATACAGTGCAGTTGAACTATACCAGCTTTGATGTCCATGTGGGCCAGTCTTACTCATTGTCTCATTCTTGGTCACCATGGATCAGAACGCGAAGTGACTACTATGTTGTGGCGAGTCCCCGATATGTGAATGAAACAGTATGGCAGAGAGTCACTGGTGTTGCCATATTGCACTACTCCAATTCTAACGGACCAGCTGCCAGTCCTCTGCCTGAAGCACCAAGCGATATCTACATTCTACAACCAGTGGTCTGCCATGAACCAGACAAAGACCATCAGGTTTGTGCTGTAAACATAACACATTTCATATGCTTTTTGTGTATGGAACATTTCCCCCCGACTCTTCTGTTCTGTTAAAATTGAACAGGCAAAATACATCTGCAAGTGGGGCTAGGGCGCTAGGCCATGTCCACAGCGCTTGTTTCACTATGGGCAGATCAACATTGCTGACACACATTATAAGGAGCTTTCCACCAGTTTCAATCAAGGGAAAAAGCGTGCAACTCTAAACAGACTATCGTTTCAAACCCCGGATACCTGATTCAGGCTTGCTGATGTTCACAAGGTGAAGGGAGCTGACAAGCTTGATTCACAAGGCAGCCACTTGATAGACCTCCTGCGGTGGACACATACTGCAGAACAATGAGAACATATTGCAGAGCTTTCACGTTGATGGTTGCTCATTTTTGTTAGGTATGTAAAATTCTCTCTCGCAACATTTTCTTGTCCCCCATCCGACTTGCAAAGTTTGAAACTTTGTGCTAATTCTGTTGGGTAGGACAAACTGCAGTGTGGACTGGGAAATTTGGTCAGAGAGCAACCGAAACGGATATAACAGCTGGGGATCTTGGACGCCATTTTTCGCTCCACTGTTGAGGTTGGCTTCCTTGCTCCACTATACCATCACCGCCCGGCCCATTGATTTTTGTTAAATTACGAATCTTATACCCTTTACAAATAAACACTAAGCGTATATAGCTAGGTTTATTAACCATATTGACATTTCATGATGTGGTCAATTAACTAGCTCTCTCCGTATCTGCAACATGGCGGATGACTTAGGAGTGGAAATCGGTACGGTAGCGGTATCTCAATATTAAATAGCGAAATTTTGAATACTGAATTACACCATAAAATTAATCTCAATCCCTAAATAATTTTGGTATTTCAATCTCAATCCCTAAATATTCGATATCCCAATCGGTACTTCGGTATCCCAATCGGTATTATTGAATACGAAATTAAGTACATTTGCAATTAATAATTAAACATATAAATTAGATTTGATTGTTTAATTTAGGGCAAAGAGACTAAGAAAAAAGTCTTGAGTTTGCCTAGAGTTAGGATATGGATAAAGAGAATGGAGGAGAGGTGACATCTCAAATTCTTGTCATTGGTAATCTTTAATTTGACAAATTGGAGAATGTTTGACTTTTGTTGTTATGAAAATAACAAGTGATTAGGTAAGAGACGAGAGTGACTAAAACTGGAGAGTCCAAATTGAGTTGGATGGGGGCTTCTAAGTTGTGACAGAGTGAGCCAGCGAGGAATGACTAAAGGATGTGGGCTATATTTCATTAATTTTTTAATTTTTGGTATATTTCTCGATATTTTGATACATACCAAGCCCAATTCTGTAATCTCGAATATCGAATAGCACTCCAAAATAAATCTCAATCTCAATCCCTAAAAAATAAACTGATATTCGGTAATACAAAATAGTGATAAATTTGGTACGATATTCGGTATATTCTAAATACCAGTACCAAACTTCCAGCACTCGGATGTGTTGCCAATATTAGTCTAAATGGTTACCTATATCATCTAACTAATTAATGGCAACTTCTTATGGTGTTCCACACTGATGTTGTTGGAATGGGATACGGTCACATCCCTCAAGGGGTTGTGAGTTTGATAACCAAGGGCAATTTGGGTAGTGCAAAAAAGAATCTTATTAATTACTTTTCTTTTTATATTAATTACATTTTGGGAAATTAGAACACATATTAAATACATTGTTTTATTTTAAAATTTAAATCCTATCACAAATATATTTCTCTCTCTTCCTATCTCTCTCTTCCTTTTCCAGCAGCCACTGACTCTGACCAGCAGACCTTCTCCGTTGAAATCCTTTAATCACACTCGCTCCGGGCACCTACAAAAAAGTACCACTCGTCAATGCGCTAATGGTAATGATTTTTGTCTAGTGGTACGTAAAAATTATCAATGGTATTGTACCAGTACTACTGATACGATACCACTAGTCATTGGTACGTATGTACCAGTGAGCAGTGGTAGCGTACCAGTAGCGCCTACCAGAGGGTAGTGGTACCAAACAATAGTGGTACACTACCACTAAGATCTGGGCACTACCATATGGCAGTACCAGTAGCAGCTACCAGATGTTAGTTGTACGCTACCATATGAAAATCAATACCGCTAGTCTAAAATAAAATAAAAACCAGATCTAGAAAAAAAAAAGATGAGGAAATGGGGAGTTTGTGACATCGCTCAGGGACCTCGTGGTCGTGGTGGTGGGAGGCAAAGGCTGCGTCTCCACCGTCGAAGGGATGGTGATGCAGCGGTGGTGGGAGGGCGGCGAGAAGGTTGCGGCAGTGGTGAGAGGCAGAGGGAGGGTTGCGGCGCAGGGTTGTGGAGATGCGGTGGTGGGAGGCGGAGGGCGCAACGGGGGCTGCGGGAGGACTCCGGCGGTGTTGCCGGCAGAGTGTGAGAGAGAAGGAAGAGATGGGAGGAAGAAGAAGAGAGAATTGTTGGTGATGGCGGCAGAGAGAGAGAGAGGGGAAATAGAGTTAATGTAAAGTTTTGGGTAATTAATAGGGGTAATGATTTAATTTGGTTAAAATTTTCGTCCAAAAATACTCTTAATCCAATCTGTACCGTTAATTTGATACCGTTAATTTGAAAATAGGGAAAAAAAGAGAATGAAATAGAAGGTTAAGATGTGGGTAGCGAAATTCACAACCCTTTAGGGGGAAGTGATGGTATCCCATCCCGCTGATTATGCAACAATTTTGAAAATCATATTTTTATCAGCTCATGTAATCATTTATGTATACTTTTCATGGGAAATAATCACAAAAAAAAAACTCTAACTAGGTATAATAGATGAAGCTAACTTGCTTTGGACAATTTATGAACTATCGCACAAGAAGAAAAAAAAAATATATGTACACTAAAGACCGTCATTGAACGGAACCCCAGTGGACGATAACCATGACCGGCCGGCGTAGAGGCCATGAACAGTAAAATGCTTTGCCGTGACTGCGTCGTGGATGGCATGAAATCCTTTCCATTTAACCCTAGATCTCAACGAAGATCCAGGCCCAAAATTCTTGTACTCGCCGAAGTACAAAGTACTCAGCCCAAAGTCGTCCTTACCGCCCCATTTGGACCAGCCCGCTGGATTTACAATCCGGTGCAAATAAGTCTTCATTATGACGGCCCGCGAATACTCCATCCAGGGCCGGCCCAAGTACGTCTCGAACTTCCCGGGCCCGGCGGCTTTCAGCTCCGCCGACGCCAGGATTTTGGAGTTGTGGATGGAAATACCGGTGTGCTCGAAGGCGTTGACCCTGCCTTGCGCGGTGATGACGTTGGTCTGGCCGAGAACCGGCCTCCGGACGTAGATTAGGCATTTTTGGAAGACGGCGGCGGCGTTGCCGAAGATGAAGTCGACGGTCCCGGACACGTGGCACTCGCGGAAGAACTGGCGTTGGGTTTGGACGAAGAGAGTGTCCTGGTAACCCTTGAAGCTGCATCGGTAAAAGACGGCGAGGTCGGAGGCGGATCGGAGGGCCACCGCCTGCCCCTTTTTGGGTCCGGCTGTGTTTGCGAACGTGATTCCGCGTGCTACGAATCGGGCGCCATCAATCCCTGCAAATTCAAAGTGTTTAAATTTCATACTTAGTATCCTTTTCTGAGTAATAGTGAGTTGATATTTGTGATCTATTCGTGGTTATATGTAAAATGTAGGGATGGTTTGATTTTGATTATATTTAAATAGATACATTGTTATCGATACATACATGCATAATAATAATGAGAAATTTTACAATGTTATATAGTATTGGTGTTATAGGTTTTTGTTTTTATGGTACAACTTAAAATTGTACATTTACGTTATGGTACAACTTCAGATTGTACCTATACTTTTGGTACAAATTCTTTTATGGTACAACTTGAACTAGTACCTTTATGTGATGGTACAACTTCAAGTTGTAAAGTTGTACCATAACATAATGGTATACATTGCTTTATGGTACAACCTAAACTTATACATCTAATGTTATGGTACAACTTTAAGTTGTACATTAAAGCACCAATGCTATATAGTATAGTAGAAGTGCTCGCATAATAATAATATATATATATATGGTGACTACTTCGGCGCACTCACAAAAATGAGTGCGTTCAATGCACCCAACTCAAAAACTAGTCTTAAGGAGTCAGATTGTGAATTTTAATTTGTAGAATTAGTATAATATGATGATATAACATATGATAACAACTAATTAGCGGATTACCCTAAGCCCTAGACCTCCAATTTTGAGTTCTATCCCTAAACCCCAAACTGTAAACCCTAACCCTAACCCTAGATCCTTAAACTCTAAATCCTTCAAATTAAAGCAAATCTTTCATGGTTTTTGTGCAAATTCATGTGCGTCATTGTTCATCACATCATAAGTGATGATTGACATCATTTTGACATAAATCTCATGTTTAAAATGACGATTATGAAGCGAGTGCACTGAATGCACCCAAAAAAGTGAGTGCACCGAAGACGCCACCATATATATATATATATATGGCGAGTTCTACGGTACCCAGGGTGAAATTCGGGGTACCGCATACCTTGAGTATGAAAATGCTATCCAGACCCTGAATTGACTGATCTTTCGGACATGATACTATACTCTAACCCTTGAAGATCAAAATCTAGGTCTTATTTCTCTAAATCTTATACCCCAAGATCAATTTAATTAGAAACAATAATCGACGGTTATGATTCGTCCAAATATAGGTAAAAAAATGAATGCACCATCTTAGGGTTTATAGTTTATGATTTAGATAATTAGGACCTAGGGTTCACTCAATAAGCGTTAGGGTATAATATCATGCCTAAAAATCCTGCTAATTCGATGTCTAGATAGCGTTTTCATACTCAAGGTATGTGGTACCCCGGATTTCACCTGGGGTACCGTAGAATGCACCATATATATATATATATATAAGAAAATTGATTTATTGTAGTTTACATCGTTTGGTTTCTGTGATCGTTATTTTAGTATTTAAATAAGATATATTGCTTTCTGGGTGAAGTGTCATTTTTACCCCTTTGTTTTCAATATAAAAAAGCACATCAAAAGGTAGGGACATAGTTTGAAGTAGAATACACTCCAACAATCTCAACAATCTCAGGAAAAAAAAACTTGAGATATTACTATCACTCATTTTGAGTGATTGTTTCTATTAGATCAAGCAAACAATACATGTATAGTTTGTCCAGAAAATTCAAAAAAAAAAACAATTACATTATAAAAAATGCACGCATTGTAACTATCACAATCAAACAATCACCAAAACCAAACGTTTGTTATACTATTAAACTAGAAATAGTTTTGAATTATTTAGCAGCTCTATGGGTAACTGTGTAACGCATTTGAATGTTGAATGGCTATGTTAAAAAAAACTGTGATGTGACTGATGTCGTAATTCATTTCATAAAATATGGAGCATTTAAGGGACTGGTGTTAATCATAATTCAATTAAACAATTATTTTTTTAGAAATGTATTTATTTTAAGGTTGATACTTGATATTGCTTGTTCTTTTCTTTTAGATTGCGAGAAAGAGCCAAAGGTCAGCTTCGTTGCCACTACAAGGTGCATTGTAAACACCGTCGACATTGACAAGAGCCCAAGATAAGAGATCCATCCGACACGGAATCAAATATTTTTTCTGATTAGTGACACAAACTGAAATAATTAAGTCCATATGTTTGTGTTAGTCGAAAATCCACCCTTGGGAATAATCTTTGTCCAAAAAACTCATGAGTATTTTCCCCCAATGAATTGGAATTACCCTTGTTTACTTTCATTTTTGTTTTCTGTTTTCGAGAAAACAGATGTTGAAAACAGGTGGGAAACAACATTTTGTCGTTTCCGAAAACAGCAGGAAGTTGTCATTTTTTGTTTTCATAGTTGGAAACGAATAGAAAACAAAATGAAAAATAAACAAGTTTTCTCGTTTCGGTTGCAAAATTGATGGCATGAAAACAGGAAACGAAAATGGAAGTGTACGGGAGTTTGTGATAAGTCACTAACTTAATCCAACATTTTGATAATAAACAATTAGAAGGTAAAATCTATGTTCTCCCTTTGTCAAATTCTCTCCTAGATTACATCATATTAATTCAAACTTTCATCAACTGGCATGCCCTAAAGAAAAAGTCTTTCAATTGCAATGTTATAGTCAATGATCAAAACAATAGTATCATAAAGTATAAACCACTAAGTATATAAAAGTGATAGGGTAAATACAATATATTATCCATAACTATCAAGTAGCGGGGAATTATAGCCATAACTATCGAAATACAAATTATTAGCCATAACTATTGTTGTGGGTCAAGATTTGGCTAACAACCCTTTACTGTTTTCAAATTTTTAACGTAGAATGCCATGTCAGCATTGTAAAAAATACGATATGATGACTGCCACGTGGGAGCCAGCTCACCATCGTAAAAGTTTAGTCATCATTACTAACAGAAGTGTTAACGAAAACTTAACGATTGGCTAATAATTTGTATTTTCATAATTGTGGCTATAATTCCCCGCTGCTTAATAGTTATGGCTAATATATTGTATTTGCCCAAAGTGATATATTAAAGCTCAAATTCAGGTAATATACAAATTAAATCCTATCAAGTATAGACTCACATTATGAACAAAGACTTGCTCCAGTGACAATGTCATTAACTCTGAACCTAGAGGCTAAAACTGAATGCCTTAGTAATATTAAATTCCAACAAAACGGTATTAAACGTGTCACTAATTACTCAATCAAATAATTACCAGCGGTGGCGGAACTGAACGTCGTGTAGGACCCACTCCCGACGCTGCGGTGGCCGGTGATGACGGTGTCCTCGAGGCCGTCCCCGACAAGCCAAACGTTACGGTTACCGTCGACGACCTCAATGTTCTCCGCATAAACCCCTCTTTTCACCCGTATGATAAACCTCTCCCCGAAATCGCCTCTCTTCCCCGCGAAATCGATCGCCGCCTGAACCGTCGCGAACTTCCCGGACCCGTCCTTCGCCACCACCGCATCCGCCTTCACGTTCACCGACGCGATGGAACCTTCCAGAAGCCTCCTCCCGCCTCTCCTCATCCACCCGGCGGGAACGAACTCGTCATCGGAGCTGGCGATTTCCCCCTTCTCCTCCTCCTCCCCATCCACCGTCGCCGCCGCCAGCATCGCCCCGTTGACCGCCAGCGTGTTGGTGATCAGCTCCGACAGGTTGCTCGACCCGGCCAGTATCGGGTCGACGAACCGGGCCGGCAGGTTCAGGTCGCCCGACCCGGCCCGACACGTGGCCACGTTGGTCAGCGCGCTGCTCAGCCACGTCTGCGCGTCGAAGCCCGTGCACCGGCCGCCACGCAGGCAGCGGAGGGTGGTGTTGAGGTGGCGGACGGTGCCGGCGTGGAGCTTCGTGCAGTCCCTCCACACGGACGTCTCCTGTGGAGTTCTGCACGTCGACTTCAAGCGTGTGAGTTGGCTTTGTACGTCGAGGGCCCTTCTGAGTGCGGCCTCGATGTTCATCTCGCGGAAGGTGGCCCGTCGTTGGTGGTGGGGCCGCCCGGAGCTGGTCGGGTGGGCGGTTCGGGTCACGAACCGGGTGCAGGATTCCGGGTTCGGGGTTTCCTTGCACCACGAGGAGAG